AGGCCTCACATGATTTTAAATAAAATTAATTGTTACCTCCATAAATGAAAAAGAGGATATGGTTTGTCTCTGACACAAAGCCATTGTTTAAGCATGTGTAGGATCTAGCATGCTTCTGTATGTTCATTAAAGTAATTTTAACTTAGAATTTGTTGGTATTGCTCCCTGACAGGCTAGTAAGCAGGCCAGAAGAGGTCTTGCAAAGAATGTAAAGGCAGCCTCAAATGTCTCGGAAGAAAGTACAGTGGTTCAAGAGGACGCAAAAGCAAAGTTAGCTGATGAATTATCCAAAATAAGGGTGGCAGAACCCCTAGAAGCCACTTTGCCAGTGAAGTTGGGAGAAAAAGAGCCACTACCCCAGGGTATGTGTCATATCTTGGGACAACATAGAGGAGCAGATTTGATGCTTAGAGTACAGCCTTCTGCAGAACCTGCTGATCTTCAGAACCCCAAAAAGAAAGGTACATTTTATGCTTCAGATTTGTTCAGGAGAGTGCAACAGTATATGACTTATCTTTTTAAACTGGCTAACTTAAGGGTGTCCGCTCTCTATGTCTGTACTTCATAAGAGGGATGCTTGCAAGGTCTAAGATGACAAGTTTTGTTCCGAGCCTTCTGATTGCAAAATTGAGTCTTTCTTAGTGTTGAAATTTCAGTTAATTAGTTTACAAGAAATTTTGATTGGCTTTAAAGGGGTTGTGAAAAGTTGATGCAACCTGCTGATGCACGCTTTGGCAATTATGGAATTTCCTTTGTTACAGAAAGAAGTTTACTGCTCAATCACCTTTATAATTTCTATTACTGACTTCTGTTTTCATGTTGACATTAGCAAAGCTTGATGATGTTTTTCATTGGACTATGCAGAAGAAAATATGGTTTGGGAGATATCGGGATCCTCAAATGACCTGGACATCGTGGATATTGACTCAAACTTAAAGGATCCTCAAGCGTGCAGCTTGTATGCCCCTGATATATACAGTAATATAAGCCTTATAGAGGTTAGTGTTGGAGCCCTTTTACTACAGTCTGACGTTATTAATAAACATAATACTATTGCAATATTTAATCTTCACTTGTATTGACAGGACAGAGAAATGTGAGGTTTCCTATATAATTTGAAACATACAATAATTAAAGGACTAGTGAGCTACTAATTTGCTATCAGTAACATAATTGATTCTGATTTTTAGTGGAAACTTATTCTTCCTCAGGTGGAGCGAAGACCGTCAACTACTTATATGGAAACATTGCAGCAAGATATCACTCCAAGCATGCGAGGAATTTTGATTGATTGGCTTGTAGAGGTCAGTATAATCGGATGTACCTAATGACTATAGTATTTCTACGAAATGGTTTGCCCTTGTTTGGAAGCATCCATACTAACTTACGTCTCTTTCAGGTTTCCGAAGAATATAAGCTGGTTCCAGATACACTTTACCTCACAGTAAATCTCATTGATCGGTTTCTCTCTCACAATTATGTTGAAAAGCAAAGACTCCAGCTGCTTGGAGTCACTTGCACGTTAATTGCCTCGTAAGTGCTATATTAGGTGAATAGATGGTGGTTTCTAGTGAAATGTGATGAATTTTTTTGTAGTCAATTAATTATGAAATAAATCCTTAGGGATGTTTACTTAGGCTATTTCATGAAGTCATCTTTGGTATACGTGGACAGACTTCTTTATATTTGTGTGTGGTGTGTGCACTGGCACACGTGTGTGAACAAGGAATCAATAACAATATTTTTCTCCTGATTATTTCATCATTACATTGCTTGACGGGTATGTATTTTTTGTTATGACTCGAAAGGAAGTATGAAGAAATATGTGCACCGCGAGTCGAAGAATTTTGCTTCATCACGGACAATACTTACTCAAGAGACGAGGTATGTACTTGGCTACATGACATGTCTAATTATGACTGCTTTTGGCTTTTCCATGCATGCTGGTAGCCTTCTGGAGTTCTCTTATTTCCATCAACTTCAACTGCATGATCCTGGGTGCTGCAGTTGATTTTTATCTCGTCTCGCCATAGACTTTGCCTACATTAGACTCATAAAACTTTGATTTGTTTTCGTACCATAATTCAAAAGCAAAATCCAGTTCTGTAGTTCACATGGCAATGCCCAACATCCTGCTTGATATTTCCTCCTTTCCAGTGGCATCACTAGTTATATACTGACATATAAAGTTCCTGAATAACTCTTGCAGGTATTAGAAATGGAGAGTAAAGTTCTAAATTTCTTGCACTTCCAGTTATCTGTTCCCACCACAAAAACATTTCTTAGGTAATGCACTCACCAGGCTTTATCTATGTTGCTTAGAAAATGTCATTTAAAGTGAGTTCAATAAACCTATTTTTGTGTTTCAGGAGGTTCATTCATGCAGCACAAGCTTCTTATAAGGTATTCTAAATTGAGTGTTGTCCCCATTCGTTACTTCTGAAAAATCAATTGCCATACAAGAACATGGTTTTATTTTAATTAATTTGTTACGCAGGTTCCTTGTGTTGAACTGGAGTTATTGGCAAATTATTTAGCAGAGTTGACTCTTGCTGAATATGGTTTCCTGAAGTTCCTACCTTCCCTCATTGCTGCCTCTGCTGTGTTCCTTGCCAGATGGACACTCGATCAGTCTGACCATCCATGGGTTTGCATTTCTGTGCCTTTTCGTAAAGGTTTTTACTTACCTCTTCTTTGAGAATTGTCAAAAATAACGTTCATGTTTGATTCTTGCAGAATCCTACTTTAGAGCGCTATACCTCTTACAAAACGTCAGAGCTCAAAACTACAGTTGTTGCACTGGAAGATTTGCAACTGAACACCAAGGGCTGTCCCCTAAATGCAATACGTGAGAAGTACAGACACCAGAAGGTATTTTGCTGACTGACCACAAAGCCCAACAGAATGTTGGGTAGACCAATACTTGTACATTTCATTCTGTTATTGCATCTGGCAAAACCTATTATCATACACTAGAAGTATTGCCTGAAGTACCTTCAGAACTTCTGAGGATCCTTTTGTGTTCGTCAAAAGACGGATCACCTAGCTCTCAGATCAAACTAATAGAACTAAAAAGGACCATCTCCTAACAAATTCATGTGAAGCCTGCTCATATCGCCACAGGCGTGTAGATTCTTAAAACGGCACGTTTTAATGTTGAAAGTAATGTTTAGTTGTGCATCATTGATACTCAGCATTTTGATTTAGTTCTTTTCTTGACAGTTCAAGTCTGTGGCTACTTTGACCTCCAAACAACGGGTGATTCGCTCTTTCCGAGATCAATAATCGCTGATTCTTCTCTAAGACTTGGATCAGGATATTTATCAGTTGGGGAAGCTCTCTGCATTCTGGAACTTTGAGGGACATCCAGAGCTCCAACATGAAAGTTCATTGACTTTCCATACCCTAACTTTGTTGTCTGTTCGTCTGTAGGTCCTTCGTTGTTAAATGTTATCTCATTCTGGTGCTTCCAGATCTGTCTTTGTAACCTCATTTTTTTTAGATCAAGCACATTTTGCCTCTTGGCAAAATAATGTATCAAAACTTCTCAGCACTTGGGAAGTTCTAAGAGTGACTGCGATGGGTTGCAGGCTCCAAATAGGAATTGCAGCTCCTTGATTATTATGTATCCAAAAACCTCATATATGAAGAAAAAAAAAAAAAAAGTTTATCAATCATTTGATTGAATTCTTATCTCATTGTGTGCTAAGCATGACTTCCTGTCGCCTACCATCATCAAAATGTGAGCTACAGGGGTGATATGTGCAGATGTATGCAACGGACTCTTTTTTTTGTTATTATTTATTTTTAAATTATCAAGTTTTCCAATCCTTAGTTGGGTTTAATATAAACAAAAAATATATATATAATCAAGTAAAAGTGTTTTACAAAGATAACAAAACGTTTTTTTAGCAAAAAATTTTGTTCATCTTGAGAATTTGTCTGTCGAAACAAACGGCTACTTTGGTTTGTTTTCGGCAAGGACAAACAATAATCTTTTTTGTTAAGCCAACTGACAACGGACCGTTGTTATTGTTGCATTTTTAAGACAAAGCTGCCGTTTGTAGACATGGCCTTAGACAAGGTTGTCTTTTATTGTTTCAAAGATGTGCCGGGTTATAAAATTGTGTTGGGCGTGTTAATTACAATATGCCACTCCAATAAAAGGCATGATCGAAGGAGTTAGGAATATGAGAGAAAATGACTGGGTATGGGTTAACTACTTCATGATCATGGCCTCGGTATTTTTTTATTCCGTATGTGTTAGTAAGCACACAATTATTCCAAATAAATAAACTTGTAATAAACTCGTAATTTCATTTTCATTTGGGTGCATAGTACTATTTGACAGAGCCCCTCATAATCCGGAGGCTGTAGTGTAGATGTTTATAATAGCTTCAGAAAGATGTTTCAGCTTTCTTTTCCCATCTGCCTAACAAGGGGTCATGACAACTTTGCCTTTTCATGTCTAAGTTCCAGCTTTCCAGGGAAACCAAATACTTGAAAATGGTGGCCCAAAGGGCACTCAGCAGCTCAAGATGTTGAAAACCCAGATGCCATGAGGTTTTAACCTAGAGCTGCGGCAATGGACATCAATGGTTAGCCTTCATTGAGAAACTTCTTACTTGCACCCTCATTTCACCACCTTATTTTTATATTTATATTTTTTCAATCAAACCACCTGCCAGCCAATGGGGGAACCCATGATGAAAATGATGCGATGACCCTTGCATCTTTATCTTTCAGAGATCTCAAGTCTCCACTTTCTGTCTGATATTGCCAAAACTTTATTTTATTTTATTTTATATTACCCCATATTCGTACCTTTCATTATATCAGGTAGCATTTATAGGGGGGACCCATTAAATCATGAAGAGCAACAATTGAAAGTGCCTACTATAATTTGGTTTATAACTTGACATTGACAAACACATTGATCTATAATAGGTTTGATAAAGACATAGCTGAGCATCAGAGAATCAGAGAGGGAGAGCGAGAAGGGTTACAAAGGGCAAAAAGGAATCCATTAAGCTAGTAGTAGTACAGAAAATTGCGGAAAGTCATTGCATGGCCCTCCCCAGAAACCTTTCTGAGGGAAACAATTAACATCCCACACAGCAGCAGAGGAATACACGATGGAAACAAGGTTACAACTACTGGCTGCCAAAGGACCATGACAATAAAATCCCACCCCCAAACTACAGCCATTTTTCCATACATTACTTGTAATCTCCCCACCACCATAAAAAACAGAGAGGAAATACCGGAAAAGGAACGGTTGGGATATAACATCAGTTCAAAAGTTAATATTTTAACAGGCGATTGAGGTTGCTAGGGAAGTTACCAGAACAGCAGTAGTTCCAGTTACTGGCTGGAGACTAGCTGCATTCTCCAACCGCTCCCATGCTTCCTTCCGCTTCTTGGCTGCCGAACTTTGCTTTGCTTCTTCCTCCATATAGTGAGCATGGCTGGAGAGGAATAGCTGATCATCCATCTCCACAAACATCTTTCTGACATTTAGAGTTAAGTTGAGCACTGCTTGGTTCCAGTGGTTATGAGCATTCCTCTCCAAAGCTGGTAAAATGATGGGCAGGATCACTTGACGGTTATGTGCAATTAGGTTGACAATGTGGTCATTGTTCCAAAAGAAAAGGGCCCTTTCAGCCACCTGAAAACATTTAAGATAAGTTAAAAATTGTTTTCCAAGGAATGAGCTAAGACGAGAATACATTCCTTGACAAACACATGAAGCAATCATCAAATTCCTTAATAATAATGTACACATGCCTAAAGTCCATCATAAAACTTATAGGTGTGAAATCTACTTCAAAATGAAGATAATACGAGTCAAACTGATGAATAAACACAAATCCAATGGAAGGAGACACTAAAGTTGAAGGGACAGTTACCTGGAAGTGGGAACTGTTAATACAGCATCCAATCCGGCAGAACAAAGGGACCATGACCTTCTGAAATTCCACCATGTTAACTGCCTCCAAAATCTCTTCTAACTCACCCAAGAACATCACCTCTTTCTGACTACTTGTTATTGGCCAGTATTTCAACAAACCCTTTATAACAACACTAGCCAACTTTGGCTCCTTCTCTATAAACTGCGTGATACAATACGACAACTGCTGGAAGTAAGACCCCAGATTTTTTGGCTTATGCAGAGGAATCAAAACCCTCCACAAGAACATTCTGTGTTCCTCTTTCAACGGCAATGCAAACCCACTAATAATACTCCCGAATATCTCCAGCAACTCAGCAATCCCATTATGTCTCTCAGTCTCAAACAAAAACCGATAGAATATATTGTTTATAGCCTTGCGAATAAACGGCCTATGAACCATGAACTTCCCATAAATCCTATGCAGAATGGTCTTCAAACAGTCTCTCTCTCTAGGGTCTTCGGAATCAAACAATTCAAGCAATCTCAAAATAAACGAATGATCTACATACTTCTTCGCTATTTTCGCATCAAGAAACGAAGAAGTCACGAATTTAAGCAGTAATTCATACACAATTTGCAAATGTGGCCAAGCAGGATCAAACATGGGCTCATCATCATCATTTTCACCCCCACCACCATTCCTGTAATTTGGCGGGAAAACTCTAAACAGATTAATAGCACACATTCTACAGGTTGCCAAAATAGCAGGCTCGCTAAATCTCATCGACCCAGATGCTACAAAGTCCACAAGTTCAAGCAATGTCTGCCTTTTAACATCTTTCTCTATAGAATTCTTAGTTGGGTCTGTGAAATCAAACGTTACACAGCAAAGGCTCACCTTGCTCACAAAGAGGTTCATCTTCTCCGAAGTGGGCACGTCCTTGAATGGCACCAAAGGCTCGATACCGGCTACCACACTCGCCGGGAACACCGCCGATGACATGCGTTTCGGGCCGTTTGATCGAACCGGGCCCAAGTTACCTCCACCGTTGGATCGAGGGGTTCCTCCGCCCACCCCGGACGGTCCGGTCCGGGAGCTGGACCGCGGCGTGCTCGTGCGCGGCGACTCGGGCCGCTCATCCGATTTGAGCGCCTTTCGCGGGAGTTTACTGAGGAATTGCTTGAGCATTGTGGTGAATTTTATGAAAATATCAAATAAAGACAGAGACTTCAGATCAAAAAGCCATGAGGGGCAGTATGATAAATTATGAAATTTGGGGAAACCAAACCCTAACCTAGATCTCTGTCATAGATCTGGGGTTAAATGGGGAGCAAACAGATACAATGTATGAGATTTAGTGAGGCAAAGTTTTGAAATTGAAGTGGGCATTGATTAAAAATCAGATCTTGGCAATGTGGGTAGTTAGATTCTGATTTAAACCAGCACAAGAACAAGAACAACAATGAAATTTTGGGGCTTTGAGGGATGCAAGGTTGATTACATTTGAAGCTCACCAATCAAACATGAAACCTCTCAATAAATTTGGGGAGAGAGAGGAAGACATGTAAATATACATGAAGGTGGGGGTTATTTCAGGTTGATGTTGATTGCAAAGGTTTGAATCTGAAAGGCAACATTGAAAGATTTCAAAAAAAGAAAAAGAAAAAAAGAAAGAGTTTTTATTTTTATTTTTTGCAGGTAGGGGAAGGAAAGAGAGAGAGATTCTGAGATGGAGATCTATGGAGTTTCTTTCTTATTTTGTGATTATGGGTTGCAGATTATTGTTTGTGATCTCCGTGAGAGGGAAATGAATGGACCCATCTTTGGGTTTTTACTGTCTTGTTTTTCTCTGTGTTTTCTTTCTTTTTCTTTTTGGATGCTGTCCACGGTGGAGGAGAAAATTAAGGCATTTTCTCGGGAAATGCAGGGTGTCTCTTTAGGACAGTGGGTGTTAATGAAGTGAGATTGGGTGTAATTAGATAAAAATGAAACTAATTTACCCCAAAATATTTTGAAATTGGGTTTTTGTTTATCTATTTATTTTGGTTATTTAAATGGTGGATAAAACAGGGGTTTCTGTCATTCAGTGTGAGCTGGATGATGAAATTGATAAACTGATAACACGTAGTAATGTAGATTTGCTTTGGTAGTTTTCATTTCTTTGTTCTGTTTTGACAGGCATGTTGTGAATCACACATCACAATGAAGATTGGGACATCTTGGAAAATTTATTGTAATATAATACAGATTGCGACATGCATATGTCTCATGATGCATGTAGAAAATCTAGCCTTCATTTGTTTTTTCGCGGAAAAAAAATCTAGGCTCCATTTTGAAAGGGTTTTAGCTAAGATTATTATTATTATATATATATATATAAATTATTCTCTTATCTGGTTGTCTATATGTTATTATTTGTGGATGTTATTATAAACATACAAATAAATATGGAGGAGTATTACAAAATACATGACATCTGCATGATAATAACGTTTGGATGTCCGCTAGGAAAATTTCTGTATATAAATTATTCTCTTATTTGAATGTCAGTAGATTATTATCATGCGGATGCTATTGTAAACACACAAGAAAACAAAGAGGGTAGTACAAAATACATGGTGTCCGCACGATAATAACGTCCAGATGTCCGCATAAAAAAATTTGTGTATATATATATGTGTGTGTGTGTGGTTTTAATTCATTGACTGCATTAGTACATTGGTGGACCCAATGAATGACTACTGTGGGCACTTGCCCACACTTACAAAAAAGTTGCAGCCATATAATCCCACCCAAACTCACGTTTTTTATTTTTATTTTAGGTCATTCTCAGGTGGAGTCCCCACATGGCCCATTCAATATATACATTTTAAGCCCAAAACTTATATTAAAAAAGAAAAATTATATGTTATAAAAGAAGAATAGATATCCCACCAAGTTCACTCATTCTATAATTTTGTGGAGAACTCAGCCACTAAGTTCACTTTAAGCTCAAATATTTTTTGTTTTGCTATATATTAGTTGGATTTATTTTTAAGCCCCCAGATGAACGAAAGTCTGGGTCCGCCACTGCATTAGTACCAATATGTATAGAATCAATCATACTTAAAATAGGAAGAAAAGAAACATGGTGGATTTCAATTATTTTCAAACAAAAAAGTATAACTAAATTATATTTTCTTCTTATTGTTATTTCAATTTCACTTAATATACCAAAATACATGTAATTTTGTTTAAAAAATAATAACGGGGGTGAGTGCAAAACCTTAGGCAACTAGCCTAAATCACGTATGCATGTTATAAGGCACTGATTTTATGAGACAAATTTCTTTAATCTTAACCTTTTTTTGTTGCATTGCAATTCAACCAATACCTATTTGAATATTGTCTGTTGTGAATGATGGTCGTATTTGTGTTTGGCCTCTGAGTAAGATAGAGCTAAAAAGAAGATTTATGTTGCTTGCACAGTCATCCGTAGGCATGTGAAATAATAAGAAATAAGAATTCATATACTATTCAATTTCCTTAATTATTAGTCAAACTTTACAATAGATGTTTTAGAAAAGAAAACATTTAATATAGTCATAGTGCTATTTTCCGTATACAGGACTAGTTTGTTGTGATAGAGGGAGAGTATTTGACATCTACGCGTACATGTGTTTTATATTGATCAACGATTAGGGTCGTTCAAACGTACTTATAGTCTGCAAGTGATTTAAATTTATCTTGAAAAGTTATACAATGAAAATTCATATTGCAAACAAATATTTAAGTAGTTGAGTTTAGATTTGTGAAGCATACCTTGGATTTGTCCATATTGAATTGAACTCATAGAGGGAAAAATACATTTAATATAGTCATAGTGGTATTTCCGTATAAAATACTAGTTTGACATTTGCTTTAAAAAGCCAATAAGAAAATAGAAAATTAAGAAGAAGAAGCATGAAGTTGCCGGTTGGAGTTGGGAGACATCAACTAGCGGAGGAGGGGCAGGTGGAGTATGACGTAAGCAATAAGCAGGGCCGTTAACAATTTCCACAAAGTTCAGGGAGGAAACTGATATTTGCCAAAAAGGACACGGAAACCGAAGCTACCCCGAAAATGAAAAATGCTAAAAAAGAAAAAAAAAGAAGGCAAAAGGGATAATTAAAAATTATAAAAGAAGGAAAAATTCTTTTCTTTTCCTCAACGAAGGTCCAAAGCTGAGTCTTGACAGCACGACGCTATTTTTCTCTAAATTTCTCGCTCCCTCCAAGTACCAACAAAAACCCACCTAAATTTCATAGCAATCACTCGATTTCCAGACGGCGCTACCTTATTTTCTACACCTTCTTCTCCCTCTCACCCTGCTTCAATCTGGTACTCTCTCTCTCTCTCTCTCTCTCTCTCTCTCTCTCTCTCTCTCTCTCTCTCCATGTATGTGTAATTGTATATGCGTAAGCAGATTGGGAATCAATAATTTATGTGAAAAATGGTTTCTGTTTTTGGGTTTAGGTTTTGAATTTGAAAGTGGGTTGTTGTGTTTTCGATTCTTTGAGTGTTGGGTCGTTCTTGAAGAATAATTAGCACATTTGAATTTTAGGATTTCGATTGGTATATGTTATTGAAATGGTATTAATCAACTGTTGAATTGAAGGCATAGTTTACCCATTGGGAAATTCTTGAACGTTATGCTATAGAGAAAGAAAGGGTGAACTGATACCTGCTGTTTGGTTGCTGAGAAAATCTAGGAAAAGAGTAGGGAGTTGAACTGTGAGTAGAATTTTGTTGTTGAACAATAATATTTTTTAGCATAGTCCCTGATTTGAGTTTTTTTATTGATTGTTTCCACTGGTTGAACTAACAAAGTCCTTGGATTCTTATTTTCCCATTGTACCTCTTTTATAATTTTTCTATCAAAAGCAAAATGTTGCTTTGAGGATATGACTAATACAATTCTGATTTAATATTTTGCTCTTGAACAGGATTGATATTGTTAAGCTTTCCGCATCTCGTGGTGCCACATAATCTATGTTGGTTGGTTCAGCATAGGTCTTCAGGACGAGAGTGAAATTTGGTTAGCACATTTGAGGAGACGAACATAAAGGTGGGATTCTTGCTCTAAAGATCTATGCATTCCTGTTCAGTGTTGTCTCGGTGGACTTAGATGGATGTTGCGTCATTGAAGCTTCCCCTTGAAAGTCAAACTTATACTTCCTCGTTATTAATGGAGCAATCACGACCTGAAGATATGAACGGAAATGAGCATATTATTGACATAACTGGGAGTAGTGATGCCTCCTCATCTAGCTTGCCACATGGTAGATCTTTAAATAGCTTAAATGCATCACAGCAAGAAGACAGACCTTCAACTAGTCCAAGAGCACCCACATTTCAACCTTCAATTTTTTCCTCTAATGGATCAAACTCTAGGAACAATGCAACAGGAAGGAGAGGGGATACTCGCCGCCGCAGAAGTCCGTTGAATTCTGGATTATGGATATCTATTGAACTGGTTCTTACTGTGAGCCAAATTGTTGCATCTGTTGTTGTTTTGTCCTTGTCAAGGCATGAGCATCCTCGCACTCCATTGTTTGCATGGATTGTTGGTTATGCATCTGGATGTGTTGCTATTCTTCCTCTTCTGTATTGGCGCTATTGTCACCGCAACCAGGTTTCAGAACAAGATTCTGCTCAAGCCCGTCACAGTTCTCAGATTAATGTACCAGCAAGACCATTTTCTCTTTCTGTTTCTAGGACTTCTGAAGGAGATCTTCAGACTACCACTGCATCTTCTAGAAGCAGTCAAAGTTCGGAAGTGCTAAGCAGAAGGTATGGTTTACTGTTGTTTTTCAGGCATTGTGCTTTATAAAATGAAACATATTGTCCTTGTTTGGCATACATTTTGTGATTCTCTTCCTAAGTTGCATGATTATTAATGATATTTAAAACATTTTATTTTATTCAATGAAGGTTGAAGCTCCATGTAGACTTAAAATTATAGAGACGGCATGTTTCTTGGCATTATCATAGACTATGTTTAGAGTTGTGGCTGCATCATTTTGAGTGAAATTACAATGTGCCTGCATTGAATGATTCTTTCAGAACAGTCAAATTGTTGTGCCCCTTACCTACCCCAATCCCTCTCCCGACCCCAAAAGAAAGTAATTAAACTCCTTGGAGATGAGTACGCTCGGTTTTCATTGTTAAAATTAAGTTGTCATAAGTGCCATATTGATAGTTCATCATAAAGGCTCGCTCATGTCTTTTGTTGTCTCTATTATGAGATATCAGTGGGAGCTTACAGAAAATGAGAGGTTAAAAGAAGAGATGGTTTGGATTTTCACACAATTTGGGAGCCTACATGTTTTGGGAGTTCACACAATTTGGGTTCCTCTTGTCTTGATGGTTTAAAATTCCTTGAACGCACATGTTGAAGTTACACAACATGGGTACAGTTTAGGGATCTGTAACAAATCCTTTGTGTGAAAGGATCTTGGTATCTGGAGTTTTCTTTTTGCTTCTCTCTGTTACAAGTTTACAACCATATTGATGAAGCTCCAATGTTGCTGTCTCATTCATGGGTTATTTTTTCGTATTTATATTTTTACCTGAAGAATATTCCAATTTATTTGAGCTAAATCCATATTGGTCTGTGTCACTTGTTGCTTTAAATTAATGTCAAGATCTTCTGGAGTGGTAATTATTGTCTATTTTAAGGGAACGGTAAATTTTGTTTGATTTAGTATAGTCCTTTAGAAATTGACAGTTACTTTCCCTTTCAATTTATGTTTTAATCAGGTTAGTGTTATTGCTTTATGATTCTTTCTATATTTTAAATTGTTTATCCATGAGAAGCCTATGTGTCTATTTGTTAGAAATTATGTTACTCGGTTTGCCTTGTCTTGAGAAGGTAACTTGAGTTGCAAGTTTAATAAGG